AGGAAACTTGTATTTTGTCATATCCAAAAGGTCTCTTTCCTTGGATTCATCTTTGAGTTTCTTTGGAAATGTCTTGAGTTTCTCCTGATTTTGAATATATGCAAATGTTATACTCCCTGAGAAATTTGAAGTTTTTTTAAGGTTTTTAGTGATTATGCTTGTGCGTTTTGTGAGCTCATGATCCAAGAGGTATCATAGGTTTTGTGAGATTTGTAGCTTCCCTTATAAGTACTACTTGATACTTGGATGCTAATGGTTAATGTTAGTTGCTCCACTGATTGATTGATTGGTTCTTGTAATGCTTCCTTGCTCAAATCTATAGCGATTTTCTCTGTGTAGATTTTGTTAGTTTGCATATGTGTTTTGGAACAGTCTTGTCAGATATGGTGAGGAATAGCGTTTCTGTTAATCTGAAATTAGGGTATGAGCGTTCTCCGTCTTGTGTGTAATTTAACGTTTGTGTTAGTGAAGGTGGTACGCAAGCTGGCAGAAATATGTTGAGCAACCAACAAATGAATGTTCAACTAGAGAGCCTTCGCAAGCTTCAAGGCCTGGACCAATCGATAACCATGATATTATCGAAAGTGCAAGCGACACTAGTGATCCACAACTTCGTAGATTGCTGGTTGAAGGGGACGACTATGTTCTAGTTCCTCAAGAAGTGTGGAAAAGACTTGTTGAATGGTGAGCGTTTCCTCTATTCCATCATTCGATTGCATTAAGTTTAGTTCCATACTCCTGCATGACTGTTTCATTTATTCTTATATGCCTTCTCTTCTCGTGAAAAAATTGTTGCAAAAATTATGCTTTCAAAGGCATAATCTGGTTTTATATCTTTCAGGTATAACGGAGGTCCTCCGATACCAAGGAAGATGATCTGTCAAGGATTTTACGCTAGGAGTTATAGTGTAGAGGTCTACCCACTCTGCCTGATGTTGACAGATGGAAGAGATGAAAGTACAACTGCAATACGGCTGGGAAAACAGGTATCGGTGCCCCACCATACTACTCATGCAGTTTGTTTTGCTTCGAGCTACTTGTGGTGCTTATGCATAGCCAAAGACTCTCTGCGGTTTCACTATTAGGCCCCACTTTGGTCCCTTTCTTATATGAGTTGTTTGTGTTTCAGGCCTCGATAAGGGAACTTTACGAGAAGGTTTGTGCTATGACAGGGGTATCGCGAGAAAAGGTGCGTCTCCAGTGCTTCTTTTCTAGATTTGGAGATGAAAAACGCATTGATTCATATGGAGATGTGATCTTTGCTTGACATTGATACCTATAAGCAGGCTCACATCTGGGATTACTTCGGTAAGAAGAAAAGTGAACTCTTGGATCCGTCATCTAACAAGAGCCTGGAAGAGTCAAGGCTTAGCATGGACCAAGATGTAAGTATCTAGATAACTGTCTGTTACACTTATCTGTCAATTCTTGACGAATTAGTAACTTGACCTACAGTTTGTCATAAATGGATTTTTGGTCATTATCTGGAATCTTTCCTGACGATTATCTTGTTGAGTGGAACTCCTTGAAATATGCATCTCTCATGAGTTCTTTTAACGTTACTTAAACTGAAACCCATTTCACTCGCTTATATTCAATTTCAGTTTTCTTTTATACGATATTGACTGATGCATCCCATGCAGATTCTTCTTGAAGTTGATGGGTCCTCTTCTTCTCAGTATGCTATGAGCTCGGCAGGAAATGAGCTAGCTCTGGTACCTCTGGAACCTTCAAGATCGCGTATTACAATTGCTGGGGGTCCTACTCTATCTAACGGTCATTCCACCACGTCCAAGTTTAGTCTCTTTACGAGAACCACTTCTGAAGATGATGGCTGCGATTCTTCGAGTATTCTTGGAAAAGGAGAGAAGGGGGGATTAGCAGGATTGAATAATTTGGGAAATACCTGCTTTATGAATAGCGCTCTTCAGTGTTTGGCCCACACTCCTCCGATAGTTGAATTCTTCTTGCAAGATTATAGCGACGACATAAATAAAAATAATCCTTTGGGAATGAATGTAAGTGCTTGAAATTGAATGCCGTTTCTACTTCCTCGTGTTAAGGTATTCACGCATTCTAAATATACCATTTAACATTTCATTATGCAGGGTGAGCTTGCTATCGCGTTTGGTGAACTGTTGAAAAAATTATGGTCATCAGGAAGGAATGCAGTTGCACCACGCTCTTTCAAGGCAAAATTGGCAAGATTTGCTCCACAGTTTAGTGGTTATAATCAGCATGATTCTCAGGTTAGTCCTTTCCTCTTATGTGTATAGTTAAGCAAATTCTTTGTTCCTGGCATTGTTGTTGTTCTTGGCTTTCCTCTTAGAAAGTTTAAAAGAAATAATGCTTTTTCGTCCCTTCGTGTATGATGTATTAAATTGTTATTTCAGGAACTGCTTGCTTTCTTATTGGATGGGCTGCATGAAGATTTGAATAGGGTTAAACAAAAACCTTACATTGAACTGAAAGATTCTGACAGTCGTCCGGATGATGAAGTTGCTGAAGAGCTTTGGAACTATCATAAGGCCCGTAATGATTCTGTAATAGTGAATGTCTGCCAAGTAAGTGTCTCTAACTTTTCTTAGTCAATTCTCCCTTTGAATGTTCATCTGGTTCTAGTTTTTCATAACACAACTGGAAGATTCTGTATTTTATATCCTGACCGTTTCTTATGCTGAATTCGATTTCTTTTCAGGGTCAATACAAGTCAACTCTTGTTTGTCCAGTCTGTGGAAAAATCTCAATCACTTTTGATCCCTTCATGTATTTGTCTTTACCTTTGCCGTCAAAACTTACACGGCCAATTACAGTTACGGTGTTTTATTGCGATGGAAGTCGGCTTCCGATGCCATACACTGTAACAGTGCCTAAACATGGATCTTGTAGAGATCTTATTACTGCATTAGGTACTGCTTGCTGCTTAACCGATGATGAAAGCCTTTTACTTGCAGAGGTATGACTTTTGGCGTGTTCCTTTCTTAGTTTAATGTCTTTCTTTTTGCTGAGATCTCTGACTTATGTGTGGCATTGTCCTCTCAGGTATATGATCACAAGATCTTTAGATATTTTGAGACCCCCCTGGAGTCACTGAATGTGATAAAAGATGATGAGCATATTGTAGCGTACCGGTTGAAACAGACGCAGAAAGGATCTGGAAAAGCAAAACTCGAAATCGTTCATGGAGGGCAGGAAAAGTGAGTATGCTTGATTTTATTTGTTACTCAAGAGCTCTTCGTTTTTCCTCTGGACTCAGCTTTATGGATCATAACTATTGGATTCGACAGGGCTGTTCTGGAGAGTGTTAGAGGCAGAGACGTGAAGCTTTTTGGAACTCCTTTTGTCACTTTAGTCAACACAGAACCACTATGCGGAAATGACATTGATGCAGTTATCTCGGGATTTCTGTCACCCCTACGCAGGGTTCAAGCTTCATCTAAGATACATAACGGACGAGAAAATGGCAACCTTCCTAATGCTGCTGCTGACGAAACATCCGAAAGTAGATCATCCCCAGATGATACCGAGATGGACGATGCATCTGATAGAGAGTTATCTTTCAGGATCTTCTTGACAGATGAGCGTGGTTCAAACTTCAAACCACTTCAGCCTGACTCTTCTGTAAACCCTGGTACGGTTACAAGGGTTTTAGTCGAATGGAATCAGGGAGAGCATGAAAAATATGATTCCAGCTACTTGAGTGACCTTCCGGAGGTTCATAAAACAAGTTTCTCCACAAAGAAGACAAGGCAAGAAGCGATATCTCTGTTTTCGTGTTTGGAGGCCTTTTTAGCAGAAGAGCCTCTGGGACCGGATGACATGTGGTAAATCTTGTAGCTTGAACTTGTGATTGCATAAGCTGATCTATTCATTGGAAAATTTAAGCTTTGACCATATTTTCCACCATTCTGAATTAGGTTTTGTCCGGGATGCAAAGAGCACAGACAAGCGAACAAAAAGCTCGACCTGTGGAAGTTGCCAGATATTCTTGTGTTCCATTTAAAACGGTTCACGTATAGCAGATATCTCAAGAACAAGATTGATACGTTTGTGAATTTCCCAATTCATGATCTAGACTTGAGCAAGTATGTGAAAAACAAGAATGGTCAGCCATATCTATATGAACTGTATGCCATTAGCAATCATTACGGCGGACTTGGTGGTGGTCACTACACTGCCTACGCTAAGGTTGGTGACTTGATTGGTCTCACTTTCTATTTGCTTTCTTTTTACTTGTCCACCTGCATAAATGCATCACAATTTGACTAGACTTTCTATTGTGTTTGCTACTAGTGCTTCTGACGAGTCCTTTATCTAATCATGTGTTACTGTTCCTGCAGTTGATTGACGACAACAAATGGTATGATTTCGACGACAGTCGTGTTACACCTGTAAATGAGTCTGAGATAAAAAACTCAGCGGCATATGTTCTGTTCTACCGAAGAGTGGGAAGTGAAACAAAGACACAATCAGCTGAGACGTCGAGGACTGATATGGATTAGTCAAGCATTATCACGAAGTTGCTGCATTGTTTCAAAGATGCATTCACTCTCATGTCAGGTTTGGTTGAAGAGTTCTGCTTTCAGGTTTGTACGATGTTATAATGACAGATCTATGTGGAAAGTTTGGGATTTAGGGATCGGAAGAATTTTTTTTGGTTAGGGTATTTTCTAGGTGAGGGGATAATTTTTTGGATAGTGAATCAAGTGATGAACAGAATTAGAGGTATAGAGATAAGAGTTTGTGAAGTAACATTTGTCAATATTGATTTTGAGTTACAAAGATGAAAGATCCCCCCCATAAAGAAGCTTTTTTAATCATTCCCTTTTTCTCACTCTACAAACACTACATGGAAACAATATTTTGTAGCTTGTGAAGATCATTTTGATGCACTTAAAAGGAAACTCACCCAAATGTTTACAAATTATCTGCTCATATCGAGAAGATAAGTTCCTGAGTTAACTGGATTGCTGAAGGAAATTTCTTATTTCTGCTTACAATTACCTCCTGAGCTGCAAATAACCACATCCATGAGATCCTGCTTGTTGAGACTTGTCCTGCTTCAGTTTCTGAGATCTAAGGAAAAACTTATGTGAAAGGAGAGTGTCTGCATCATACCGCAACAGCTAAACATGTCACCATGAAAGAACACCCATCATCAAACACATCGTCATACCATAACACCTTACCCCAAATCTCTCCTCCTTGACGTCTTTCCAAAGAAATCTCCGCACACCAAGTCGAGATTTCAACATCTTCGTCAACATTAGAATTATATATTTGAAAAAACATAGCCAATTTCTCATCGTAGCCAACCATGGTCGACCACACTGTATGTCTCCGCTTAGGCAACGAATTTTTCAAACCTTTCACCACTCTCCAACACCTCTGCTTTGGATCATAAACTCTTATTGTTCTTGTAAACATCGTAATAGTACAATAAGTCGCCAACGGCACACGCATTTTCCCAATCTTTTAGAATTCAGCATCTCGTCCGATTCCCATTTACTTTCCTTTGGCACATAAACAAAGCTTTTCATAGAATGTCTCATGTAAATCTTATCCTCCATCACCACAGCATCATACCAAAATTGATCTAGCTCCAAGTCTGGCTTTATCGTCATTTGAGTTTCTATATCCAACACCATTACTCTCTTTCTCGAATGGCTTTCCTTATCATCTCCGATTAGGTAAATCTTACCGTTGATGATGCCAGGGACCTTCTCATACATGTACTTAGGAATGCTAGAGTTGGACTGCACCTTGTGAGATCTACAGTCTATGCTTAAAGAACTCGATGAACCCACTGCATATATCTTTGAACCCACTGGGACATAGCTTACGCTGCAAGGCATACAAGGAAGCGTCAGGATAATGACCAAGCGATTATTGTTGTTGACTTCCCGGCGGAGAATAGACAAATGGTAATCATCGGTGTTGTAGTTATAAAGAACAGCATAGAGACAGTGTTCGGTGCGGCCTAACAAGGATCGACTCGTGTACAGCTCACGTGACGCAACGATTGATCGGAAACTCTTGGAAACGAGGGAGATTTTCGGATAATAGTATATTGGTACACGTGCTATGATATCCACGATGATGTCATATGGAAGACACGTAATCAGAGATGGTGGAGGCACCGGAGATTGCTCCTTCTCCGCCCTAATCCTGGAAGACATCTAAAGAGTGTTTAGGCTTGAAATCAAGAATCACCACCGAGCTAAAGGGGAAAAGCAAAAATATCTATCGACTAGGGTTTTTTAACTTCTGAACCTTTGGTATGTGACCTAACTTTCTATCGAGTATAGTGTTTTTAAAAGTAGCTAATTTATCGACTAGGGTTTGGTAATCTCTTTTTTTTATTATTATTATTGAATTATATGTTTCTAACTGTTATTTTGTCTCATTGTATGAAAAGTCAATGGAAGGTCTTAACCGGAAAAGGAAAATTAGCCTAAGCCTAGTCTAAACCGGAAAAAGGAAAATTTGTTACAACTTAAGGAAAAGGTAACAAGTTGGAAAATAAGTTAACTCAGATTCTACGACACGGCTAATTTCGTCTCTATATAAACAAACGTCTCTCGATTCTCTTCTTCACAAAACCATAAACCTACAAAAGCTTTTTAATCTTTCTCGTTTTCTAAATCTGAAAAAGAGTTTGATATAGAATCATGAATTCGTTGTTCAGTATGTTAGACTCCTTGTGCGTACATATTATGAGGAAAAAAGTTACTGCTGTATCATCCTCCAATGGCACCTCTACTTCTTCCTCTGGTGATCAAGCCATGTCGATGGAGAAGACAGCAAAGAAGGTTTTGGTGGAGAAGGCTCTGAGGTTTGCGCCTGAGCTTGACGGACTCCATTGTTTTGAAACCATGATTCGTTCTTAATTATTCCACCACAAGATTTTCAAATCTGTTGTATTCTTGTGTTTTGTTATTTTCTATCAAAAAATAATGATTCATGATTGGATTGGTTCACAAGTTTCTTAGCTCCTATTCTTCGTTTTTCTTTCTTTTTTTGAATTCATATTCATGCTTTGAGTTTCTTTGCTCTTCTGCAAGAAAATAATCGACTCTTAATATCAGCTAATAACAGCTTTAATTAACCAAATAATATTAACGAAACTACAAACTTTAATTTAGAATTACATTACAATATATGGTCCTGATGATTTAAGGAAGAAGACTCGGGTTTCATATGTCATATGTGTTTGAAAGTGTTTGACGGATTCTTAGTGAGTGAGAGAGTTCCAATGTTTGGAGTTGTCAGACTCATGTGTTCGTTGTAGGTTTGTTTAAGAAAATCTAAGGCTTATTAGTAATTGTGCTTCAACTTTGTAACTGAACTCTATGATGAAGGTGAGGTTTTGTGAGCTTGAAGAATCTGGTCGTGGGCTATCAGCGGCTAAATTAGCCACGATTGCAAAACCAAATTAGTTACGAAGCTATAGTTAGGAATTATTTTTGTGGTTTCCTTGGCTAAAACCCTAAAGAGCTAAGCTAAGAATTGTAGGCCATAGCCATGAAAAAATTCGTAACTATAACTTTTTCCTAATAGAGAGCTCGTTTAATTTTGTTAGTTCATTTTTAGAAGTGAAATCGTAAGGGATTAGTTTTTTGAGACTTTTTATGTTTGTTTCTAACTTAGTCTCGTGATCAAAATATTGAATTGAACGTCGAGAACTCTGTTGAAAGTTTGGGATTTAGGTTTGGAAGATTGTTTTTGGTTAGGAAATTTCTTAGGTGAGGGGGCAAGTTTTTGGATAGTGAGTAAAGTGATGAACAGAATTAGAGGTCTAGATATAAGAGTTTGTGAAGTAACTTTTGTTAATATTTTAGTATTTCACACTCTACTAAGCAGACATGTCTTCTTCGGAACTCATTGATTTTGAGTTACTAAAAGATGAAAGAGCCTATAAAGAAGTTTTTTAATCATTCCCTTTTTCACTCTAAAAAAAAAACTACATGGAAACAATATTTTGTAGCTTGCGAAGGTCATTTTGATGCGCTTTGTGAGTAAACCTTTTGGTTTGAAACTATTCCAAACGTTTACAAATTATCTGCTCATATTGTTTGCTGCAAATAATAACCACATGCACTTTCTGAACTACCATGAGATCTTGTTTGGTGACCATTCGAGACATGTTCTGCTTCTCCTTCTAAGATCTAAGGAACTTAATATGAAGGAGTCTGCATCACATCGTAACACCTAAACACTTCACCATGACAAAACTCCCATCATCAGTCACAGCATCATACCATAACACTTTACCCCATATCTCTCCTCTTTGGCGTCTTTCCAAAGCAATCTCCGCACACCAAATCGATATTAATCCTTTTCCGACATTTTTATGAAAGAACATAGCCAGTTTCCCATCATAACTAACCATGTTCGCCAACAATGTATTTGGCCTAGGCAACGATTTTTCCAAACCGTTCACCACTCTCCAACACCTCTGCTTTGGATCATAAACTCTTAACTTGTTCTTGTAAACATCGTAATAGTACAATAAATCGCCAACGGCACACGCATTTTCCCAATCTTTAGAATTCAGCATCCCGTCCGATTCCCATTTACTTTCCTTTGGCACATATACAAAGCTATTCTTAGAACCTCTCATGTAAATCTTATCCTCCATCACAACAGCATCATACCACAATTGATCTTGCTCCATGTTTGGCTTTCTTGTCATTTGAGTTTCTGTATCCAACACCATGACTCTCTTCCCCCACCTATCCCAACTCACCTGCCAATTTTCAGTTACATAAATCTTCCCGTTGATGTTGCCAGGGACCTTCTCATACATGTGCTTAGGAATGCGAGAGTTGGGCTGCACCTTGTGAGATCTACAGTCGATGCTTAAAGAACTCGATGAATCCACTGCATATATCTTTGAACCCAATGGGACATAGCTTACGCTGCAAGGCATACAAGGAAGCGACCGGATAATGACCAAGTGGTTATTGTTGTTGACTTTCCGGCGGAGAATACACAAACGATAATCATAGGTGTTGTAGTTATAGAGGACAGCATAGAGATAGTGTTCGGTGCGGCCTAACAAGGATCGACTCGTGTATAGCTCATGCGACGCAATGATTGATTGGAAACTCTTGGAAACGAGGGAGATAGTTGGATAATAGCATCTCGGTACACGTGTTACGATATCCACGATTATTTCATATGGAAGAACCGGAGATTGCTCCTTCTCCGTCGTAACTTTGGAAGACATCTAAGAGAGTATAGACTGAAATCAAGAATCACCACCGAGCTAAAGGGTAAAGCAAAAATATCTATCGACTAGACGACTAGGGTTTTTAAACTTCTCAACCTTTGGTTTAAGACCTAACTTTCTATCGAGTAGTGTTTAAAAGTAGCTAATTTATCCACTAGGGTTTGGTAATCTCTCTTTTTTTATTTATTTATTATTGAATTATATGTTTCAACTGTTATAAACAAATGGACTTCTAGTAACCGGCCCATTAACCATCAGGTTAATGTTTCATGGCCCATTAGGGTTTCTGATGCATTAATTATGTAATGTATATATACACTGCTTATGGAAATAATAAGATAAGAGTTTTTCCCTTAATACGTTATCAGCACGAAGCTCAACTTCAAACGATCATATCTCTCAAAATACAAGGATTTAGAAGGCGATCTACATATCATTTTGAAGCCCTGGAAGAGAAGAATCTAGTGGTGAAAACCGCTCCTCAATCCGACACCAGACGCGCCCTCAATCGGCACTGTCCCACCTTAGCAGGTGATTCTTTCCAAGCGGTGGTTCCTCCATTGTAGCAGCTGTTCGTCCTCCCTTCTGGCCATCATTCTCAGGAGTTTCCAGTAGATATCTGTGGTCTTTAGCTCCCAGATCATAAGCCGGTCAGAAATCCATTTGGCGAAAAGGTATTATCTAAAACTATAGATCCTAATCAAAGTTTTGGTTTTTTTTTTGAAAACCCTAATATGGATCGGTTCTTTTCATGATTCTTCATCGTCTTTTTCGTTTTTAAAACCATAACCAAACCGATCCTCTTTCTTCTTGTCAAAACCCTAATTGGTTTTATTTTTCCTAATCGGCTTTATCATATAAAACCTAAACCCTAATGCTTTGTTCAAACCCTAAAACCGGTCCATGCAAGCTCCTAAATCCTAAACCAATCGACCCCTTAAATTCTAAACCAATCGATTCACCTAAACCGTTTATAAACCGATAAATTCTAATCCTAAATCGATAGGGTTTAAGTTTAAACCGATCGGTTTTTCCTAATAAAAATTAAACCGGTTTTGTTGTTTAATCGATCAATCCGATCGGTTTAAGCTTAATCGGTTAATTTCAAATTAGTTTCCAAAATCAATTTAAAAAAAAAAAAAAACCAATGTTTATCTATTAGAGCTAAATTTGGAAACACTAGTAAACCGGCTAGGTTATAAACCCTAAGGTTCGATTTTAGAGTTCCCTTATATAGCAAGTTTCCTAAAATAGCAAGTTTCCTGAAATGGAAAGTTTTCCCAAGAATACCTTAAATCCCTTATTCCAATGATCATAGTCTTATACTATTGATTATTTAACATAAATTATTATATGTTTCAGATGTCAAACATTCAGAAGGTCGAATATGAGGCACTCACTGTCTCCGGAGATAACTACCTCAAATGGGCCCTTGACACCAAGATCTACCTCAACTCAAAAAGTCTGGGTGAATGCATCAAAGATCCCAACACCGCGACTCAAACAGAACGGTACTCGGCGATATTTATTATCCGCCATCACCTCGCTGAGTCTCTCAAGCAACAATACCTCACTCTTAAGGATCCACTCGAACTTTGGGTGGCACTGAAAAAGCGATATGACCATCAGAAAACGGTCATACTGCCCCAAGCCAAGTTCGACTGGAAGAACCTACGGTTCGAAGATTTCAAATCCGTCGAAGAATTCAATTCCGAACTCTTTCGGATAATTGCACTCATAAAACTATGTGGCGAGGAGGTCACTGATAAGGATATGCTAGAGAAAACATTCTCTATTTTTGGCACTCCCAATGTTGTTCTCCAACAACAATACCGTGCCATGAATCATAGCACCTATGAGGATTTGATATCTTGCTTACTGCTTGCTGAGAAGAACAATCAGCTTCTGTTGAGGAACAGTGCCATGCGGCCTCCAGGATCAGCCCCATTGCCAGAAGGAACCAGAAAAGAGTCTAACTTCGTCCAACGTAACAGATCCTCAGATCGTGGACGTGGACGTGGAAATGGACATGGACTGCGCGGCAGAGGACGCGGTAGACCGAACCAAGATAACCGACCTAACCTCAGTTTTGGTCGGGGTAAGGGTCGTGGTATCAACAAACCGACCCAAAGACGCAGTTCATCTAGACCAACTCCTTGCTCAAGATGCGGAATGACTAATCATTGGGTCAAGATCTGCCGTACTCCCAAATATCTTGCTGAGCTCTACCAGAAGTATGGGAAAGATAATCATGAGGCTAACCTGGTTCATCAAGTCAATGAAGATGATTCAAAGGATGATAAGATTGATGGCATGGATTATGAGCTCTCCGACCTCCTTGATTGATCTCAAAAATCTGAATTTGTTTTTCATTACTCCTTAAACTTTTATCTTTTGTTTTTTTGGGATTTATTGTCTTTACTTTGGATTTTTAAGACCTTTTGCTTTTACATTTTAATTTATGGAGTAATGTTTTATTTACATCTCATTTTTGCATGTTATTGAATTATAATTCTTGTTTAATAAAGATATGCAAGACAATATGGATATCATTGTGGATAGTGGATCGAGCCACACCATTCTAAAAGACAAGAATTACTTCATAAATTTAGTAATCAAAACCGCAAACATTAGCACTATAGCGGGTAGTTCGAGCCTAATAGAGGGTCATAGCCAAGCTAATGTGCTGTTATCAAATGGCACATATCTAGACATCTCTGATGCCTTATACTCACCCAGTTCTAAGAGAAACCTATTGAGTTTCAAAGACATAAGATTGAATGGTTTCCATATCGAAACTCAGGATGAAGGGAACAAAGAGTTTTTAATTATCACTAAAATGATAAATGGCCATAAACAAGTTTTTGAAACTATACCCGCCGTATCTACTGGCATTTACCATGCTAAAGTCAGTATGATTGAGGCTAATGCTGCTATCAAAGCACGGTTTTTAGATTACACTATTTGGCATGATCGCCTGGGTCATCCCGGTGCGAACATGATGCGTAAATTAGTCCAGAATTCTAAAGGGCACAGCCTTAAACCAAATGGTATTTTCCCTCAGCACCTCAAGTGCACAGCTTGCTCACAAGGGAAACTGATTACCCGACCTTCACCAGTCAAAGTGTCTAAAGAGACCTTGAACTTTCTGGAAAGAATCCAAGGAGACATATGTGGACCAATTCACCCACCTTGTGGGACATTCAGATATTTCATGGTCCTCATTGACGCATCGACCCGCTGGTCGCATGTCTGTCTGCTCTCTTCTAGGAACCAGGCTTTTGCTAGGTTATTGGCCCAAATCATCAGATTACGAGCCCATTTTCCAGACTTCCCATTAAAGACTATACGTCTTGATAATGCTGGTGAATTCACTTCCCAAGCGTTTAATGAATATTGTATGTCCATGGGGGTAAGTGTTGAACATCCCGTTCCACATGTCCATACACAAAATGGATTAGCTGAATCCTTCATTAAACGAATTCAATGGGTTGCTAGACCATTACTCATGAGGTCACAACTCCCGGTCTCAGCTTGGGGACACGCAGTCTTACATGCCGCTGAACTAATACGCATACGACCATCTAGTGAGCACAAATATTCACCATCCCAATTGCTAACGGGTCATGAGCCAGACGTCTCCCATATTAAAACATTTGGGTGTTCAGTCTATGTACCCATTGCACCACCACAGAGGATTAAAATGGGACCTCAAAGGAGGATGGGAATATATGTTGGTTTTGATTCTCCCACCATCATAAAATATCTCGAGCCAACTACAGGAGATCTGTTTAAAGCCAGATATGCAGATTGCCGATTTGATGAATCGGTATATCCTAGATTAGGTGGTGAGACAGACAAGCTGGTAAAAAAACTTTCATGGAATCAAACATCCACACAATGGCAAGATCCTCGGACTCTAGAATGTGATTCAGAGGTCCAAAGAATTATACATTTACAAAAGCTAGCTAATCAATTGCCAGATTCCTTTGCTGACCCGAACAAAGTTACCAAATCGTACATACCAGCTTGTAATGCACCAGTACGAATAGATGTCCCCTCAGGGAAAAGTCAAGTTGCTACAGAGTCTGACGCACGTAAGAAACGTGGCAGACCACCAGGTTCCAAAGATAAGAATCCCCGGAAATCAAAGAAAGGTGCAATGATTGAAACCGGGATTCAAGAGAACACAGATACAGCCTCAGCTGATACTTACCCTATCGAACCATCTCAAGAGGTTTGGGACGCCAAAACTCAAGGTTCTGAAGGGATTGATAATAATGAGATCTCAATCAATTATATCATATTCGGTTCTCTATGGAACAGAAAAGATGTCGACATCAATGAAACTTTTGCATACAAGGTAGCACTTGAGATTGCACACACGCAAGAGGATCTAGAACCCACGTCTATAATTGAGTGCACTCGTAGATCAGATTGGCTGAAATGGAAAGAAGCCATAAACGTGGAGTTGAATAGTTTAAAGAAACGGAATGTGTTTGGTCCGATCTTAAGGACACCATTCGATGTTAAACCAGTGGGAAACAAATGGGTCTTTGTGCGTAAAAGAAACGAACTCGGCGAAGTCATTAGATACAAGGCACGCCTTGTAGCACAAGGATTCTCACAGAGACCCGGAATCGATTATGAGAAGACTTATTCTCCAGTGGTGGATGCAACTACATTTCGATTCCTCATAAGTCTGGCCATAAGAGAAAACTTAGATTTGCGGTTAATGGATGTTGTAACCGCATATCTTTATGGACCACTGGACAGTGAAATCTATATGAGATTACCAGATGGTATTGAGCTCAAAGATAAGCATGCATCTCGTGATAAACACTGCATTAGGCTGAAAAAATCCTTATATGGACTGAAACAAAGCGGACGTATGTGGTATAACCGGTTAAGCAAATATCTCATCAGAGAAGGCTACGAAAACGATCCGATCAGTCCATGCATCTTCATCAGAAAATATCAAAACAAAGGATTTGTAA